GCCTGTGGTCACATTTGGAATTTTGAGAGAAGGTGGTGAGCACCAGCCTGAAAATGGCTCCCACAGGAGGTGGACCCAAACCAAACCCCAAATGGCTTTTGCAGGAGGCGGAGCCAGATGGAATACTTCCCTCCTCAAACCTCTTGGGCAGAAGCACACGCTGATGAAGGAAAGCCCAGGTGCTTAACAGTCTTCCTGGTCCTCCAGTGGAAAAACCCTTTCATTTGAATGAGGGCAGCCAATAACATGACTTCCCTCAAAATAGCCCTACCCATTTTCTGAAGAGCTTGGTAGGGGCACCAAGGAAAATATTGGTGAGCACCATGTTGAGGAAACCTGTGCTTCGCCTCTTGTACAAATGTGAACCAAGGCTGAGAAGTGGTGTGTGTGTGTGTGTGTTTAATTCTGCCCTTTGACACCTCTCAGGTCCCCCTTTCCTCTGTAGCTAAGGTTAAATTTTGTCAATAGGCCTGTTCACAAATTACAGTGAATACTTGCATTTTATTTATATGTGCCTTAAGTAATTCTCAAGGAGCTGCGGTGGCTCAAGTGTTTAAGACGCTGAACTGCAGGCTGTGGAAGGTCAGTAGTTCAGCAGTTCGAGACCCAGGGTGCCGCATGATGGAGTGAGCTCCCGTCTCTAGTTCCAGCTCCTGCCAACCTAGCAGTTCGAAAGCAAGAAATTGCAAGTAGATAAATAGGTACCACTTCGGTGGGAAGGGAACAGCGTTCCGTGCGCCTTGGTTTTTAGTCATACCGGCCACATGACCACGGAAATGTCTTCAGACAGCACTGGCTCTTCGGCTTTGAAACGGAGATGAGCACCGCAACCCTAGAGTCGGACTTGACTGGCTTTCGAGCAAGGGAAACCTTTACCTTTACCTAAGTAATTCTCAGGTTACTTTCAACCCATGTACAGCTGAATGAGGGACTGAAACGGCACACTTATCTAGGTAGTGGTCCCTGGTTTCATTTGTAAAGTGGACGAGCGTTCGCTCTTCATGAAGGATGTATGTGCCTTCAATCTAACATGTGAACAGCGTCTCTGAAAACTGTGATGGGACAGAGGCCTCTGGGCATGGCTGAAGCTGATGGCCTTCTTGTTTGTTCCCAGCATTTGGTATTCACAGGTATGCTGCTTCTGCATTTGGAGGTTCCATTTGGCATTCATGGTTGCCAACTCTGGGTTTGAGAGTTCCTGGGGATTTGGGGGGTAGAGCCTGGAGGGGATGGGGTTTGTGGAGGGGAGAGACCTCAGTATGATGCCATAAAGTCCACCCTCCAAAGCAGCCATTTTTTCTCCAGGGGAACTGATCTCTGTCGCCTGGAGCTATAATTTTGGGAGATCGCCAGGCTCTACCTGGAGGATGGCAACCCTAACTCAGGGGCATTGATACAATTATCTACCATATATTTTTAAAAAACAAACAAACAAACAAACAAACAAATAAATAAATAAATAAATAAAAGGCTTGTAAACCCATGGACCTCTAAGCTGTCCTTGCTCCCTGATGGAAGTAGCTCGCATAAACACATGAAGCTGCCCTATACTGAATCACACTTTCGGTCTGTCTAGGTCAGTGTATTCTACTCTGGTGATACTCAGTGGCTTGGAAGCCACATCACTTTTTGACATGCCCCCTGTGGCTCTTCTGAGCATTGTTGCCCAATGTGTAGGGTTGCCAGCCTCCAGGTGGGGTCTGGAGATCTCTCAGAGAGTTAGAACTGATCTCCAGGCAACAGAAATCAATTCCCCTAGAGAAATGGCTGCTTTGGAGGGTGGATTCTGTGGGCCTTATACCACCCTGAGGTCCTGCTCCTCCCCAAATTCCTCTCTTCCCAGGCTCCACCCCCAAAATCTCTAAGTATTCCCCAACCCAGAACCGGCAGCCCTACCAATGTGTCACTGCCCCATAGGGTTGCCAGATCCCCCTTAGCCACCCGCAGGGGATGCGGGATAGGGTTGCCAGATCCAGGTTGGGAAACTCCTGGAGATTTGGAAATAGAGCCTGAGAAGGACAGGATCCTCAGTGGGGTACGATGCCATAGAGTCCACCCTCCAAAGCCTCCATTTTCTCCAGGGGAACTGATCTCTGTAGTCTGGCGATGAGGTGTAATTCCTGGGGATCCCCAGGTCCTTATGCCATGTCCCAGGAAAGTGGGCAAGGCCATTGCCTATTACAGTTCATAGCTGCGAGGTGGTTTTCCCATTGAAACGCTGGAACAACTGGAGAACAGGTAAGCTAAAAGCCTCCCTGAGCTGCGAGCCCTGGGCCAGGCACGGGATTCCCCACTCCTCCACATGAAACCAGCTGGGTGACCTTGGGTCAGTCACAGTTCTTTCAGAGCTCTTTCAGCCCCACCTACCTCACAGGGCATCTGTTGTGGGGAAGAGGAAGGAGACTAAGCCACTCTGAGATTCTGAGTGAAGGGCAGGGTATAAATTCAACGCTTCTTCTTGAATACCCACCACACTTCTCCACAGCTTCTGATCTCTCATCTCAGGACTCAAGACGGCAATCAGGAGGCCAGTAAGCTGACCACAGAGAGGAGAAAGTAAAGCGGCCACCAGAAGAGCAGGTTGGCTACAGTGAGGAGTGACTTTACTCCCCTTTCTCCACAGCCAGCTTCCTCTCCTCCAGGTGCCTTGGCAATCTCTTTCACACCTAAGCTGCTGTGCCTCATGCTGAGGAGAGCAGGAAGGCAGAGAGAGGGAAGCCCTTCCCCTCACTCCAGATGCACAAGGGCTGGCTAAGGTTCGACAGGGATGGGGAGAGACAAGTCTACATGCACAGAGGCACTTTGGTAATTATAAAATGTTAGTCACCTTTATATCTATTTTATGTGTACGTTTGGCAGAATGGTGCACAGGGCATACAGCAGTCATGTGGCTCTTCTGGCTGACTGAGGATTATGATGAACGGAACTTTGCCTATTGAAGGATCATACCCCCCCAAACCTTGCTGCTCTCCAAGGTACTATTGGGAGTTGAATCCAATGACAAATGTGGCTCTCTTGAGAGCCGTGACACAAGTAACACTAGTCTACCCTGGTTGGAAGTGGCTCTCCAGGGTCTTTCACACCATCTCCTACCTGAGCCTTTTAAACAGGAGATTCTGGAGGCTGAACCCGAGATCCTCTGTATGCCAGGCTGATACTCTGCCACTGATCCATGCCCCATCCCTCTTTGAGTAGGGCTGTGTGGAGAGTGCTGCCTTTGGAGAAGTGCCCTCACCTCAGCCAAGTCACTGTGTGAGCACACCCTTGAACTGGATTCACTGCTTCCCATTATTTGCCATGCAGTTTGCAAAGGGCTTCAGAAAGTGAAGAGTTACTGGCAGGGCTATTTTTGGGCAAGGAATGCACAGGAATGGAGTTCCGGCTGGCATAATAGGCTACACCCAACAGCAGAAACTCATTAGGATTGGCTACATTAGGGGTGTGTGGCCTAACATGCAAAGGAGTTCCTGCTACAAAAAAAGCCCTGGTTTTGACAACAAACAAGGTAAACAGAATAACAAGCAAAAGGTGGGTGTGGCTGGATGACCACATTTCTGGTAACATGGGGGTGCGTCCTAATGTGCTAATGAGCTGTGCTGGCAGGGGTATGGCCTAATATGCTAATGAGTTTCGGCTGTTGGGTGTGGCCTATTATGCTAATGAGTTCCTGCTGGGCTTTTTCTACAAAAAGAGCCCTGGTTACTGGAACTAAAAAGACCTGCTCACAGCCCCCCCCCCTCATTGCTCTAAGACCAGGTCCCCAGCACGGTGCCTTTTAGAAAGTGGGTGGGGCTAGGTGGCCTGTCCCCCAGCAGGGTTTCTGATTGGCTGTACAGATTGACTTCCATTTCAATGTATCTGAAGAAGTGTGTATGCCCATGAAAGCTTATGCCGTGAATAAAACTTTGTTGGTCTCAGGGCTATTTTTGGGCAGGAGCGCACAGGAACGGAGTTCCGGCTGGCTCCCAAGTTGGCCACGCCCAGCCGGAACTCATTAGCATAATAGGCCACACCCAACAGCCGAAACTCATTAGGATTGGCTACATTAGGGGTGTGTGGCCTAACATGCAAAGAAGTTCCTGCTCCAAAAAAAGCCCTGGGTTTTGACAACAAACAAGGTAAACAGAATCAGAAGCAAAAGGTGGGTGTGGCTGGATGACCACACTTCTAGTAACATGGGGGTGCAGCCTAATGTGCTGTCATGGGTGTGGCCTAATATGCTAATGAGTTTCGGCTGTTGGGTGTGGCCTATTATGCTAATGAGTTCCTGCTGGGCTTTTTCTACAAAAAGAGCCCTGGTTAGTCTTAAAGGTGTCACTGGACTCGTACTTTGTTTTGCTGCTTAAGATCAGCATGGCTCCCCACCTGAATCTATAGACTACAGCAGAGAGAGAACATTCCCTTCTTATCCCCTTTCCTCCACCCACCACCTTGTTGCTTGAAGATACTCTGTGTAAGCTCTAGATCATCATGCTTTGGCTATAACAACCAACAGTGCAGCTGTTAGCATAAGTAAGTAGTGCAGTTAGTCCTTTGTTAGTGTTACTTGTGTTTTGGTATGCATTATGACTCCACTGAACTATATGCCTTGCTTTTAATAACTTTTCTTGAATTTCATCGATAAAGCTTTTTTGCTTCATTTTCATGTGAGTTACTGGGGAGTTGACCCAAATCTATTCAGGCCAGAGTTAGGTTATGTTATGTTACTATTCCAAGGCAGGGTCAGTCTTGATACTCTTAACCCTTCTGGAATTTGTCTACGTGGCATGTCACCTTTTGAAAACTAGAAGGCAAGGATTAAAAAAAAAAGTTTGAACACAAAATCTATAGCCAGTGCGCACATGCATCACCTAAAATGTAAACATTGTATCAATTTATACACTTAAATTTCTAACCTGCCCGCAAATAATGATGGTTTAAAACAAATCTCTGAGAAATGGGTCTATTTTAGAAAACACAAGAAAAATTCAACATTGCTCCAATTACTTTTAGTAGCGGTGCATTCATCAGTAAAACCGGGAAAATATTTCAAATCCCACAATACTTTGTTAAAAACAGACATTTAACTTTTTATGGAGCAGCCCAGAAAAAAGAGTTCATTTCTGCTTTTTAAAAAAATTATTCTTTTCAGAGATCTAGCACTGGCCAAGCAACTGCTAAATCTGGTCCATGTAAATGTTTACTAGGTTCTCATGCTGTGGCCTTTCCAACATGAACATCTTTTGGCCTCTGGGTCCACATGTGGATTTTTTGTTCACGAGAACAGAGGGATAAGCAGGCTTTTCCTCATACGTTTATATGGTTTCTCTCTTGCATGCACTCTTTCATGTTTTCTGCAGTCTGAGCTAGATATGAAGGTTTTCCCACACTGGAAGCACTCGTAGGGTTTCTCCCCTGTGTGGGTTCTCATGTGTTTCGTAAGGGAGGATCTGTGACTCAAGCTTTTGCCACACTCAGAGCACTTATATGGCTTCTCTCCAGTATGAGTTCTCTGATGAGTAATAAGGTTGGATTTCAAGTTGAAGCTTTGCCCGCAGTCGGAGCACTTATACGGTTTCTCCCCTGTGTGAGTTCTCACATGTTTCGTAAGGGAGGACTTGTCGCTAAAACTTTTCTGACAAATGGAACATTTGTATGGTTTCTCACCAGTATGGATCCTCCGGTGCGTTATGAGGTTCGATTTCCAATTGAAGCTCTGCCCACAGTCCAAACAGGTGTACGGCTTCTCTCCAGTGTGTAACCTCTTGTGGTTAATGAACTGATAGCTGGTGCTGAAGCTTTTCCCACACTCAGAGCATTCGTACGGCTTCTGGCCCGTATGCTTTCTCTTGTGTATGACGAGGTCTCCTTTTTGGTTAAAGCTCTTCCCGCAGTCTGAGCATTTGTGCGGCTTCTCTCCCGTGTGAGTCCTCCGGTGCGTCAGGAGATGAGACGTCTGACTAAAGCTTTGCCCGCAGTCTAAACACTTATACGGCTTTTCCCCCGTATGGATCCTCTGGTGCTTATCGAGGATTTTTCTTTGACTGAAACTTTGTCCACACTCTATGCAAGCGTACGGCTTCTCCCCCGTGTGTATTCTCACATGAGAAACCAGATTGCCTTTCTGACAGAAGCTCTGCCCACATTCTGAGCACTGATATGGCTTCTCACCAGTGTGTATTCTTTTATGTTTAGTGAGGTAAGAGGTTGTGTTGAAGCTCTTCCCGCACTCAGAGCATCCGTACGGTTTCTCTCCAGTATGAGTTCTCTCGTGTACAATCAGGTCTGCCCGCCTATTGGCTATTTTACCACAGTACGTGCACGTGTATAGTTTATCCCCTTTTTGCATTCTCTGGTTCTGAGCTAAGTCCTGGCTTTGACAGCTCCTTCTGTATTTTGAGCCCACCTGTTTTCCCTCAGGCCTGAAGATTCCCCTTTGGAAAGTGCTTTTTTGTAAATTGTGTAAAAATGAGTGTTCTTTAATTGCCCATGGATCATTTTCCTGGCAATTTTTGGTCCCCTGTTGATTCCCAGGCATCTCCTCCATCTCATGAGCCCAGAAAGACATGCTTTTGGCTCCTTCCAAAGATACTCCACTCATGTCAGCTTGCTTTTGCCTTTCTGCTGGAAATGCCTCCTCTTCACTCTCCCACCGTTGGTCACCATCTGATGGCACAAAGAGAGAACCATGAGAGAATCTATGCCCTGTACAGGCAACCTCTGCAAAGAGTACAAAGCAAATAAACCAACGAATGTTAAAGACATCGATTTATGAGGGAAAGCGACTGGCTCAGTGAGAGAACTCCTGATTTGCATGTAGAAAATCCCAGGTCTGAACCCTGGCAACTTCTCGTTCAAAGGATCCGGGGAAGAAAGTGTTGGGAAAGACCCTTCTCTGCCTGAGATCCAAGAGAGCAGCTGCCAATCTGATTGGCTGGCACTGCGAGTGAGACCAATGATCTGGGGGCCAAAACTACAAGTGATGGGAGCAATGAATCCCCGTGGCTATTCTGGCACTTAAAAAGGTGTGCTGAAGGGGGGGGGGAGGGACAAGAGCTCCTGAGGCCACCTGCTGTGTGCCCAACCCGAATCAGGGCCTTGCAGCAATTTTTAAAGAACTACACATGCTTCTAAGACGGAGGCACTTGTAGTTTGGCCCTCAGTCAAATATATGATATCATAACGTCCCTCCTAAGTTCCATAATATTATAATTGGAATCTATCCTGATTAGGAGATAAGTTATGAACCTTTCTTTTCAGCTTCGGTGGCTAGTTGCTGTTGCTGGGGGAACATCCACACAGCTGGTGACCCTCCTACGACTGGGACCCATTCACGGTGCTGGCATTGGTCTTTAGAATCCCGTACAGGTTGGGAGCAGCATACCTCAGATGAACTTCCCAGACCCATTATGGTAAACGTCCAGGACCCTTCTTGGAGTGCCCTTGCTGTCTGAGGCGAGATGGGTGGCACGGCATCCCATCTCGGCTATGGCAACAAAACCATGAGATTCCTTCCCCGGGGAGACTATCTATATCTTCCACTAGTGGGTACAGATCTTTTTGTTTTGTTTGATGTCCCTTTATCGACTATCCTTCTTGGTTATGTTTCCAGTTGCTATTGTTGTTGTGTGTGTCTACACACACACACACACACACGGCGTCATAACGTCACTATCTGGTGACGCGCACGCCGGGGTGGGGTTCCCCCCGGGGCCCGATTCCACGGTAGCGGAAATCGGGCCTCCAAAGCGAGGGTTTACCCGCCCCCACTTGGCAGCCCTACACACATGTGTCTGTTTTAAAGTCGGTTTTAATGTTTTCTGTCTGTTGTCTTGAGGGCCCTAATTGGATGGAAAGGCAGAACAAGACTCATGGCTGTGTTGGCCTGAATTTTATCTTCATGAGTTAACTTCATTAGCCTAGCAACAGGCAACTGAGGAGATGGGCCTGTCAGTCTCCCTTGCTCCCCCCCCCCGCAATAAGATAGTACAAAAAGTCCTATCACCCCTTGTAATCTATTGAGTCATCAAGGACCGTATTTTAAAACTGGACTATAATAGTATGTGTAGGGCTTTTTTTTTTAATTTGAAAAAGAGCTGCCAGAACTCTCAAGAGGGAAATGAAGTTTTCCATCTGTATACATTGTCAAAGAGTTTTCGGAACTCTGTTCTAGTGCGTTCCCCCAGAAAAAAAAAGCCCTGAGTACATGTTTTCCTGCCTGGGTTTTTTCTCCTATTGCACTAGGACTATCTTTTCAGCATAAAATACCAAAATATTTATACACATTGACGGTCCCCAAGTTACAATGAGCTAGGCTTGCCAAGTCCCCCCTGGGGGGCGGGGAAACCCCAGCCCCAGAGGCCCGTTCCCCGCCGCCAGCGGATCGGGCCCCGGGGGGAACCCCACCCCGACATGCGCGTCACCCGGAAGTGACGCAACCACGCCGGGCATGCTGGGGGCGGGGCCACGGTCATCTGAGGGAAAACTCTATGGTTTTCCCTCGGATGGTTGTGGCCCCGCCCCCAGTGTGCCCGGCGTCATCACGTAACTTCTGGGTGACGTGCGTGCGGCGCACGCTCCAGACGCCGGACTGGAGTCCCCTGCTCCGGAGGAATTTACACTTGGCAACCCTACGATGAGCCTTTATGATGGCCCGAATGGACACTTTACCATCAGCGGTGTTAACTGGACGTCATTCAAGGATTCCCTATTCTGAAAGAATTTGCTCATGCCCCGTGGGAAGAATTGAGACCATAGCACATATCGTATTTGACTGCCCATTGAGAGCTGAAGCTAGGAAGATGTTTCTTTTGCTTTTATTTTCTCTAATTCGACAACTGAATCTAAGATTAGTTGGCTTCTTTCAGATTCTGATTGCAGTGTTCCCTTGTGTATGGCAAGCAACCCTACATGGACTGTATCTTTGTTCTGTAGTAGCCCATGTGGCTTTTAACAGTAGAATTAAAGTAAACTATTAAGTACATTTTTATCCCACCCTTCCTCCAAGGATCCCAGAGCAGCATGCATGATTCTCCCTTCTTCATTTTACCCTCACTACAACCCTGTGAGCAGGGCTATTTTTGGGCTGGCTTCAGGTTCCGGCTGGCTTCAGGTTTGACCGCGCCCACTACAGCCAAAACCTCTGCGTGCGTGGCTACAGAGGGAAGGCCTGGAGAGTGACCCCCCCGGTGACTCCGAGGCGGGCGGGCCAGGGGGGGCCCCTGGAAGGATCAGGGAAGCAATTAAATGCCTCCCCGTGCCTTCCCTGGCCTGTCCAAGGGCTGGCTTGCCCAGGCTCCCTGCAGCTGCAGGGCACCCAGGCAAGCCAAGGGAAGGCATGGGAGTGTGGTTTAATATGCTAATGATATGCACTATCAGAGTGTGGCCTAATATGTTAACGAGTTTCTGCTGTTGGGTGTGACCTATTATGCTAATGAATTCTTGCTGGGCTTTTTCTACAAAAAAAGCCCTGCCTGTGAGGAAGTTTAGGCTGACAGAGAGTGTGTGACTGGCTGAAGGTCACTCAATAAGCCAGTTAACATGGCTGAGCCCAGATTTGCTCCAGGTTTCCCAGACTTTCACTAGACACTCTTACCGGTTCACCACACTGGTCAATTTAGGGCAGTGAGTGTGTTATGTGTATTATACATGTGTCTATGCATAAGCAGTGAGAACTGGTGGATGAGGTGAGAAGTTACTGAACCCTTCTTGTTGACTGCTCGGCAAATCCAGTTCTGTGGTTTTCTCCCATAGATACAATTTGATTTCCCCACCCACCCCAACCTAGGCACCAAGTCCAGGAAAAAACTGACTGTGAGAAAAAAAATGATGGTGGGGTGGGGAGTCACAGAAAGGGGCATACACTCCCCAACCCTCTGTATTAAAAGTCCTTACCCCCACCTTCCATTAGCATCAGCTACCAGCAGTGTTCCCTCTAAGCTAAGTTAGTGTGAGCTAGCTCACAGTTTTTTAGCCTCCGGCTGGCACATTTTTGTCTTAGGTCAGGAAGGAGGGCTCCAGAGCAAACAAATTGATGCAGTAGCCAAATCGCTCGCTCACAACTTTAATGCCAGGAGCTCACAAAAAAGAATTCTTGCTCACAGGACTCCACAGCTTAGAGGGAACATTGGCTACCAGGTCTGAATTTTGAAGACATAAACTTGCTGGCAGAACATTTAGCTCAGCCCTCATAAAATGTTTCTTCAGGGGACTAGAATCTATGAGTAAGATAGAGCCAGGACCGAAAGAAGCAGATAGAGATTTGCTGAAGCCACACAAAAACCTCTCCAACATCCAAGGATCCGCACTGTGACCATGACCCTTACCCAGCAAGATGGCCTCCAGGAGACCCTCCTTTTTGACTGTCTGCATCTTCACCATGCCTGATGACTCCTGCTTTGCCTTAGAAGAATCAGATTGTGGCATCTAAAACACAAAAGGGTGGGGTGCAAATTTAGAAACACTGAGTGGATGCTTATAGTTAGAGCCAGTACCAAGGAGGGGCAGACTGGAGAGAACTCGGTTTAGATCTCTGCTTAGCCAAGATGTTTACCGGTTGTGCTTGGGCCAGTTACCCTCTTTCAGCGTAACCTACCTTTCAGGGTTGTTGTGGGGATAAAATGGGAACCTCTCTGTGGGAAGAGTAGGACAAGCATAGACAGAGAGCCCTGATCTTCCTCAAACATAGCTCTACAATAAATAAATAGCGACACGTGATTCAAGTTTGGGTTATGTCAAAACCTTATGAAGTGGCTGGGTGGGCGAGCGATTTAAAACACAGGATGGAAATTGTGTTTTTTCGCTGGCTGGGGTTGCTATGGGTCATACAGTGTTCCCTCTAAGCTGAGTTAGTGTGAGTTAGCTCACAGTTTTTTAGCCTCTGGCTCACACATTTTTGACTCAGCTCAGGAAAGGATGGCTCCAGAGCAAACTAATGTAGGCAGTAGCCGAATCGCTCGCTCACAACTTTAATGTCAGTAGCTCGCAAAGTAGAATTTTTGCTCACAGGACTCCACAGCTTAGAGGGAACATTGGTCATGGAGACCCACAGGAAGAAAACAGCCCTGTGCCACCACCTGAGTGAAGGTTTTCAGACCACCTTCCCTAACCTTGCCCTGCATTGTCAGAGGCAAGAAAGAAAAATCCAGATTTCAGGGTCAGACGTTTTCAGTGTGTTTATCTCTGGCTTCAACCATTTGTGACAAAGTTTTCGGAGCCGGTTAAATACCTCTTGGGCCTCATCGGCCTCTTGGTGCCAGCACCGCATCTCCAAGCTGATGGCGTTTTCCTCATGTACAGTCTCTTCCTTCGTGTTCACAGAAGAAGCCATGCTTCTGTAGGCCTCACAGTCCTCTCCACCAATATCTGGCAGGGTATGGATAACACGACTTGCCCTGTGCTTTTGGCTCATGTCAGCTGCTCTCCTGAAGGAGGGCTGAGATTCCTGAGTGGCCTCTCCTGACAAGGGGTCAAACAGTTCTAGAATGGTCCTTGGCGAGTGAGAGGCCTGTGTTTTCAGAAATGCCTGCCACTGGGCTTCCCATCTCTGTGGCAGTCCATTGTCAGTCTCTGGTTTGATTCGCTGTGGATCCACCCTGTTCAGATCCTTGGTGATGGCTCCATTTTGGACAAGATGAAGGCCTCCTTCTCCTGCCTCTGTTCTCTTTTCAGCTTCAGGTCCTGCTGGATCCGGCCCTTCCATTTTTAGCCCTGGGCAGCAGCTCCGGGACTGGAAACGATATCCTGTGTTGAGAAAAGCATCCTGATTCACTTTGAGGCAAAAATTTCCATTCTACAGTTCAATTATTTGTTAGCAACTCTCTCACTATCTGCTTCCATGATAAAGATTAACTGAAGGTCAAACTAGATGTCACATCTTGTCTTGTTCTTCTCTCAGGGGGGGGAGTGAAAAAAAAAGTTCTCAATCTGTCATATTTTTAAGTGTACTACATGAGGTCTATGTTCCTCTTTAATTTCCTTCTCCCCCCCACCCGAACGTACCAACCTCCCTCAGCCTTTCCTTTCATGTTCTGTGTTCACATCTTGTCTTGTTCTCTCAGGGGTTAATCTCAATCTGTCATATTTTTAAGTGTACTACATGAGGTCTATGTAATTTCCTTCTCCCACCCACCTGAACGTACCAACTTCCCTCAGCCTTTCCTTTCATGTTCTGTGTTCAAATGCCCTTACCGTCTTGACAGTTCTTTTTAACTGGTCAACCCCCTTTCTCAACTGTGATGGCCAAAATGGAAAATGTGAAACTAGCACTCTGGTGGCACCAAGTCTAGTACCATTGTGGGAGAGAAGGCAAGCCCTGTGCTAACTGTGGCTGCCATAGAAACCAGAGAACCCCCAAGGAAAGATCAGTTAAAAGAGACACCAACAGGAAAGTAAGATTGACTGAGGAGAAAATGGGGGCCTACATTCAGGCAAAACACTGAAAATGGGTGCAGTCTCTTACTGCCACTTCTGTGGAAAAGAGTAAGAGTCCAGTAGTACCTTAAAGATTAACAAAGTTTGTGGCAGGGCATGAGCTTTCATGAGTCACTGCTCACCTTCTTCAGAGACCTGCTGTATACAGAATTTAGAGTTGCCAAATCTATCTGCTATCCATCTTGATCTTCTCTGTGGAGAACAACAAGGCTGTGGCTCAATGGCAGAGCATCTGCTTGGCTGGCAGAAGTTCCCAGGTTCAATGCCCAGTATCTCCACTTAAGGATCAGGTAGTAGGTGATGTGAAAGATCTCTGCCTGAGATGAACCAAGGATCTGATTCAGTATAAGGCAGCTTCATGTGTTCAAATTCACTTTATTGTTTATATTCTTTTAATGGCATAAACCATCTTGAGCCCACATTTTGTGAGGAAAGGTGGTCTAGGAATCTTTAAATAAATCAATTAATTAATAAACAGAGCTGGAATAAAATGAAGGAGAGGAGAATGAGGGACAGGATCCCCAATGGGGAGAAAGGCAGGATATAAATGAAGTAAGTAAATAAATATTATTTAGTATGCTTTTTAAAAGCATGTTTTACAATCTTTTATCACCATAGGTTCCAGAGGCCTGATTACACCTGACGTCATGCAGGCCAGGAGACCTTTCACACAGTAAACTCTAGTTGCCAAATGCACTGAAAGTAGATTGAAAGTGCATTATTTAGTTTATGTGAAAGAACTATTTAGTCTCCCACCCCCATGTGCCTTGTTTACGGCTGCTGTTGGGACAGAACTTATAATTTCAAGATAGTGCCTTCTTGTATAAGTCTACTGTGTTAATTTGAAGACCTTCCCTAAGGTTGAATAAGCCAGCTCTGGTTAGGGAAATTCCTGGAGCCTTGAGGGCAGTGCCTAGGAAGACAGCTCAGCAGGGATGTGATGCCACAGAGTCCACCCTCCAAAGCTGCCATTTCCTCCAGGGGATACCGATCTCTGTAGTCTGGATGCCCATAGTGCCACTTAAAAAAAGACTGCCATTCCAGTCAGAAAGCTCCTTGTCTGGTTTAGGCAATGGAACTACCAGAGACAGAAAAGATGACTATGCTGGATTAGAACAAAAAAGTGCAGTGGGGAATGGTGGCGGAAAGTGCTGTCAAGTCACAGCTGGATCTCTGTAGTCTGGATGTCTAAAGTGTCAGTCAGAAAGCTCATTGTCTTGTTTAGGCAATGGAACGACCAGAGACAGAAAACATGACTATGTTTCATTAGAACAAAAACGTGCAGTGGGGAATGGTGGCGGAGAGTGCTGTCAAGTCACAGCCAACTCACAGCAACCCTGCAGGTAGGGTTGCAAGATCCGGGTTGGGAAACCCCTGGAGATTTCCGAATAGAGCCTGGGGAGGACAGGGACCTCAGCTGGGGTACAGTGCCACAGAGTCCACCCTCCGAAGCCTCCATAGTCTCCTGGGGAACTGATCTCTGTAGTCTGTAGATTTTGTTTATTTATTTATTGTTTCTATTTGTATCCCGCCTTGCCGGACACGCTGGCTCCAGGCAGCTAACAAGATCCAAATATCATTGCTCCAGGGAATCCCCCAGGTTCCACCAGGAGACTGGCATCCCCACTTGCAGGGTGGTTTGCCATTGTCTGCCTCCGTGTCACGACTCTGGTATTCCTTGGAGGTCTCCCATTCAAATACCAGCCAAGGCTGACCCTGCTTAGCTTAGCTTCCAAGATCTGGCTAGCCTGGGCTATCCAGGTCAGGGCTATGGTGGGGAAACAGGAGGCATGAAAGGGGGAAATCAAATGGGGGCTGAACAGAAGAGCACCTAGGATAAGCAATACCATGTCCGGGTTGACAGAAGTGAAAGCTCTGATAACAAGCTCCTTGCAGTGGCTTGCACATCTGCTTACTGTCATGTTACCATAAAGGTATGCCTGTTTCAGGAGCGCCACTGGAAAGCCTTCCACGTGTGCACGTGTCAATGGCTCTCTGTTGCAAAGTCGTGCATCCTCCCTTTGTCCCCACCACTAATGCATACTAATCTCAACACGCTCCTTTCCAGCCCCCGTATTTTTAAAGCATGGAGCTCTGCAGTCCCGGTCTGGGTGAAAACGGGTGTGCGGGACAAATCCTGCTGTTCCACAGGCGTTCCTGATCTGGAGGACAGCTCCGGGCTGGCTCCCCGCCCCGCCCCCCCGGGTGAAATCTTGCTCCTGCTGCAAGCCGCATTTTCCTGCCCTCCTAGATCAACGACCTTTCTCTGGTTCCTCCCTGTCGATCGCCACGTCTCCGTTTTAAAAAAAAACGCACCAAAAACACCTCTTCCCGGTTTACCTCGCGGAGACGCTGCAGTCCTTGGGAGGCTGCAAAGCCAAAGTTTCCGGTCAATCCCAAAGGCTGCCTCTGCCCAAAGCCATGCAGAAAGACAGGAAAAGGAAGCCCCTGCTCGTTGCCTCTCTAGGCACAACAGCTTCGTCTGGTTAACCCATTCCCGTGTTCATTCCAAACCCACCCCCCTCCAATGTGGGATTATTTTGCCTATCTGGTCCTGAACGGAAGAGGGAGCAAGTTGACGGTCCTTTGTTCCTTTTTCTTAAAAATTTTTTTTTAATCTGGTGCATGTGTGTAGGCTTGCCATCCTCCAGGTAGGATCTGGAAATCTCCTGGAATTGCAATTGATCTTCAGACTAGGGTTACCAGATGTCCTCTTTGGTTTTTTTTGGTGTCGGTCTTCATTTGGGCTCTTAAAAAAACCCCGATGAAAATGCCCTCTTTTTGGGTTGGGAGGCTGAGCGTGTTTTGCCCTATAGTCCCCCCAATGGAGGCAAGCTTCGGCTTAAATAGTAGGGGTATTTAAAATGAGATTTGTCATAGTGATCAGTTGTTTGAAGTAGTCAGTCGGGAAATATGCTCTCTTTTTTGCTTTCCAAACAGCGTTCCGTGCGCCTTGGTGTTAAGTCATGCCGGCCACATGACCACGGAAACGTCTTCGGACAGCGCTGGCTCTTCGGCTTTTAAAGGGAGATGAGCATCGCAACCCTAGAGTAGGACTCGACTGGCTTTCGAGCAAGGGAACCTTTACCTTTACTTTTTAAGCCTAGTGACAACAAGAGAGATCAATTCTCTTGGAGCAAAAATTGGCGGTTATGGCATTATACTCCACTGAGGCCCCTCCCCTCCTCAGGCTCCATCCCCAAATCTCCAGGAATTTACCAACCCAGAGCTGGCAACTCAAAATTTTTTTCCAAGTCAGCTAACAATAATTTAGAAAAGACACCTTACAAAATAAAGCAAACGACATCAAATGATTTAAAAGCAGGAAAGCTGGACAGAGCTGGAAAATGTCAGCACCACACAAAGGGGCATGTTAAAGCAAATGAAGGCACTGCAAAAACTCTAGGAAACAATGGCGATTTTGTCATTGCCTTAGCACCAGCTGGGAGGGATGGGGTTGAATTTTGTAGTGCCACAATATCAGAAAAGGCTCTGCCCCTTATAGCCACCCCACTGTACTTCAAGTAGTGTGCGATGAGAGGGATTTTCTGACTGAACCTGTTACCACAGAATGAGCATTCCTTCAGTTTCTCTCCTGTGGAGATTCTCCTGTGTTTGATCCGGATTCCCATAGTATAGGACGCTCTTGCCACACTATGGGCATATCATGACTGTTCCTCTCCTGTGATTAACTAGGCTTGCTTTCTATAGGAAGCTTTTGTCACTCGAATGTCCATTTTGTTTCTCTCCTGTGTGGATTTTTGTGTGTTCAGAAGATCACAGTGTTTGTCACTCTGTGAGCATTTCTGTGGATCATCTCCATTGTGGGTTCTCTCATGGATAACAAAATGAGATCTCCGAGATCTCTGGCTTTGTCTTTTAGCTCCTAGAAGATTGAGAGCAATTTGTAGGGAGAGGAAATAGGAATTTCTAGGCTTGCTGGATCTCAGTATGGTGTGATAAACACTCACATATAATCTGGTAAGACAACATAGCAGAGACACCAAAAACTTAGTAAAAGGTAAAGGTTTCCCTTGCTTGAAAGCCAGTCGAATCCGACTCTAGGGGGCGGTGCTCATCTCCATTTCCAAGTTGAAGAGCTAGTGCTGTCCGAAGACTTCTCCGTGGTAATGTGGCCGACGTGACTAAAGGCCAAGGCGCACAGAACACTGTTATCTTCCCACTGAAGCGATACCTATTTATCTACTTGCAATTTCGAACTGCTAGGTTGGCAGGAGCTGGGGCCTGAGACAGGAGCTCACTCCGTTATGCGGCACTTGGGTCTCGAACTGCCGAACTACAGACCTTCCACTCTGCAGTTCAGCGTCTTAACCTCTGAGCCACCAAAAACTTAGGTGCAGTCTTACTCTTCCTATTGTGTGAACTGGACAGAATCGCCTAGAGATCAATTGTAAAAGCAGGAGATCTCCAGCCATCACCTGGAAGCTGGCAAGCCTATATTACTGGTCTTCTGGTACCCATTTCCAGCAGGCCTGAAGGAAAATGTCCCTTTTTGTATAGAAATGTGTGGAGATGAGCAGTTTAAGCTTTTTGTGGCAAGGAGGTAAATAACATTCCATGACACCTCTATTAAAGAAATAGGACATTCCCCACCACCACCGGTCTGTCGGCAACCCTATTGCCTGTGCATGAACATTAAAGAGACATACAGCACACAGCTGACCATATTATTCACTGTTGGCAAGGCTTATTTGGGGATTACATGTGTGGGGATGACAGAAGCTAAACTCTGTCCCCTCCTCCTTACCTTGACTGTACCCTGTTGCTTTATGGATTTTTCTTCCAGCCTGATTCCAACACCAAAATGAGGAGGAAGGGAAGAAAGCACCATAAAGGGACAACTTAGGGTGGGGAGGGGGCAGGGTTTAGCTCCACTCACCCACACATCGCTTTTGGTAACACCTGGCTTTAGGCCTTAATGGGTGGATGTGTACAAATCTGCATTGATACCCAACCTTACATCTACTTTGGTCTAAAGTCCAATGTGGGTACCTCAGAACACCTCCAGGATCCTTTGCAACATCGCCAGGTTGGCAAACGTATCCATGTGGAAATAGAAAAGAGCAAGAGTCCAGCAGCACCTTGAAGACTAACAAAATTTGTGGCAGGATAGGAGCTTTTGTGAGTCACTGCTTCCTTCTTCTTAAGAAGTTAACAGTGACTCATGAAAGCTCCTTTTGTTGTTGTTGTTCAGTCGCACAGTGGAGTCAGACTCTTCGGGACCCCATGGACCACATCACGCCAGGCCCTCCTGTCCTCCGAAGTTTGCTCAACTTCATGTTCTTTGCATCAATGACACTAACCATCTCATCTTTTGCCCTCCCCTTCTTCTTTTATCTTCAGTCTTTCCCAGCATCAGGGGCTTCTCCAGCGAGTGCCACCTTCTCATTTGGTGGCCAAAGTATTTGAGCTTCAGCTTCAATACTACCTTCAATGCTACCCTGCCACAAATTTTGTTAGTCTTGGAGGTGCTACTGGACTCTTCCTCTTTTCTACTGCTACAAACAGACAGACACGGCTACCTATCTTGATCTATGTGGAAAGATATTTGAAATACCTTCAATGCTACCCTGCCACAAATTTTGTTAGTCTTGAAGGTGCTACTGGACTCTTTTTTACTGCTACAAACAGACAGACACGGCTACCTATCTTGATCTATGTGGAAAGATATTTGAAAACCATCTTCCTTGTAGATTTACAGTAGTTACTCTAATACAAGACTAGGGTGTTCCCCCCCCCCCACAGCTATGCCATCCAAAAAAAGAGGGGGAGGTGTCTTACATTCACATAAAAGAGCAAGATTTGAATTTAGTAACACCATAGAAGAAGAAGAAGAAGAGATTGGATTTATACCCCGCCCTTCACTCGGAGTCTCAGAGCGGCTTACAAACTCCTTTCCCTTCCCCTCCCCACAACAGACACCCTGTGAGGTGGGTGGGGCTGAGAGAGCTCTGACACAAACTGCTCTTTTTCAAGGACAGCTGTGCCAGAGCTTGTGACTGACCCAAGGTCCCATCAGCAGGTGCAAGTGGAGGAGTGGGGAATCAAACCCGGTTCTCCCAGATTAGAGTCCACCGCTCTTAACCACTAAACCAATAAGATTTTTAGGGTATAAGCTTTTGAGAGTCAATGCTCCCTTTGTCAGGTTTGACTCTCAAAGGTTACACCCTGGAAAATCTTGTTGGTCTTTAAGTTGTTGCTGGACCTGAACCTTGCTCTTCTATGGCAGACCAACCTGGCTACTCACTGGAAACCATTTGCATACAAGTTATTGTTATGCTGAATCACAGTTTTGTTCACATATAACATTTTAAAGAGGGTTGTCTTACAGTCAGAGTTGTCGTCAAGTAAATACAGTGTAATATCACGTCTCTGTAAGACTGCCCAGCTGTTTTGTATGGAAAGGGGAAGCACGTTCTTGTGAGCAGATGGAAAAATGATACATGGGGGGGAAATCAGACGAGTATAACCCGTAGGAACTTGACGTCTCAGACTGCTGAACTGGCTTCCTCCTTTTGGGTGTTTAATCTTGCATTATTAAGGATTTGCTGCCCTTCTGCTGGAAGATTGCCATTCTCTGAATAAAATCTTGGTTCTCGTCACCCTTGAACTTCATGTTCAGAGTCTATTCTCTTGCCATTCTCTGAATAAAATCTTGTTTCTCGTCACCCTTGAACTTCACGTTCAGAGTCTGTTCTCTTCCCATCTCTCTGTCTTCCTTCACTTTCTGTTTGACTGTGCGAAATCCTAGGAAGTGCTGGCAATCTGGAACCATACAGATCGGTACTGTTGGCCAGGTTGTAGGTTGAAGCACATTAGTGTGTGGGAAGAAATAATTAAGCAACCAAAAGCTCCTGCAAGCCCAAAGTACCATCCTATGAAGGTTGAGGTGGCCTGCTACATCTCTGCATGATTTACTGCTCTGACTTGGCCTCCTTCCAATCAGCCCCCATTGAAGGTGAGTCATTCTGCCCCATCTCTGTGACTGTGACATTCTATTTCTCCTGATCCAGGAAAATTATTCGTTCCCCGGCAATGCTCCCTCTAAGTTGTGGAGTCTTGTGAGCAAAAATTCAACTTTGTGAGCTACTGGCATTAAAGTTGTGAGCAAGCGATTTGGCTGCTGCATAAATCAGTTTGCTGTGGAGCATGTGAATTCCTTTTATTCTGCTGCTGGCTGCCATTTTAGATTTCTTTAAATATTGGTTTTGTAGTACTATCCTGTTCTAATTTTACACTGTGGGCTGGCATTTCATTGACCAAAATCTTCCCAAATAAACAAATCTGGTAGGCTTAACCTACCATTCACTGCACTGAATAGTAATAGGAGTAAAGCTGATGACTGACACATGGCCCGCAGTGAGTGAGAGGAGGTACTGAACCTTCGGATGAGGACAGCAACGGGGGCATCCTTTGGCACTCTCACACGTCCCCATCCCTCATAACCCCTCCCCCTAGGGAGGCTGGGGAGTTGGAATCCCGTCATCTTATATATATTGCGCTTTTGCCATCCCGTATATGCTGTTTTTATGTATTGGTATTTGTTGGGCTGTTTTAACTTAATTTTAATTTGAGATTTGTATATTATTTTGTTGTAAGCTGCCCTGAGCCCTACTCAAGGGGAAGGGCGGCCTAGCAAATCTAATTTAATAAATGAATAAATAAATAAATAAGTATCGCTGTTCAGGAGCTGAATGTTACAAGAAAGGTGAGATAGAGACCAACAGACAGAAAGGGTTGAAAGGGGAGGCAGTAAAGCAGTTTGTTTGGGAGAAAGGGCTATACTGGAGTGAGCGAAAGAATGGTGAGGGGAAAGAACCCATTGATCAGGGGTCATTTCCTGCAGGAGCACACAGGAGCGGAGCCCTGGCAGTAGAGACCCCAGGGGGCAGGCACATGCAACAAGCCCCACCCCCTGCTCCCAGCAGCCCTCAGTCAGAGCAAGAAGCAGCCAGGTAAGCTGCAGAGCTCCCCCCGCCCCCCCCCTGGTCCAAACCAGTCCAGTGGCACCTTTGAGGCCAAGTTTTATTCAGGTACAACCTCTCCCTCCTCTGTGAGGACAGATCTGCATGCCCCCCCCCCAATAGCTAGCAATCCAAAACAGTCCAGTGGAGCCCGAGCGGTGGGTGTTGCCTTCTGACACACTTCCAGTGATGTCAGGGGGTGTGGCACATGCAAATAAGTTATGCTAATGAGTTATGCTAATGAGCTCCTGCACCTCTTTTTCTAGGAAATGACCCCCACCAATGATTACCTGAAGTGTGCGTGCACATGGAAGCTTATACCCAAAATTAAGCTTCGTTGGTCTTAAAGGTGCCCCACTGGACTCACACTTCGTTCTGCTGCTTCAGACCAACACAGCTGCCCACCTGGATTGACCCATGATAAACAGTGAGAGAGAAAAAGCCTGTGAGAGACACGTCATTTTGTTCATGGGTTTATTTAACACATTTCTTCACGCTGCCCTTCTGCCCCCCCAGGTGTTCAAGGTAGTTCGCAGCAACGTAACAGAAGTGAATAATAACTAAAACCCAAGTGCAACTACCGTTCAGAACAGTCTAAACATTCGCAACTAAAACAGCAAGTAAAACAACAGCACACGAAGAAAAAAGTCAGGAACCCACACGACAAGCCGAAATCAAAACAAAGAGGAGCTGGGTGGGCCGGAGGCCAGGAGGGATGGGAACAATCTACTTCAGACACAAACAGCACAGATTTTGCCTGGTGCCAGGAGAGCACACCAGAACAGCCCTGCTGGGACAGGCCAAAGGTCCATCTAGTCTAGCACCTTGTCCTCCACAGTGGCCAACGCCATAGGATTCGGAAGCCCAAGAGCCAGGCACGAACCCAACAGCCCTCCCTTGTTATTTGCCCCCAAGCAACTCGTATTCACAGCCTCTCCACATGGAAGTCCTACACTGCCATCACAGCAAATAGCCGTCAAGGGGTGGGAATTTGTTGAGTCCCTTTCCGCCACCCCCACCCCCAAGTCATCTAAGCTAGCGGGCCATCACAACGTCAACTAGGCTGCACGTTCCACACATCAATTATGAGTTGCGTTAAAGAGGTTCTTCGAAGACAGCACCTGGCAAACGTCTCTCGGGAGGGAGTTCTGCCACACGAGGCATCACCACAGAAAACGTTCTTTGTCCAGTCAACACTGGCTAACCTCCAAAAGATGGGGGGATGGGAAAAAAGGCCTCCGAGGACCATCTCAGTTGGTTGGTGGAGACAGTCTCTCAAATACCCCAGTCCCATTTCACATCTGAAAGGTCAACACCAGCACTCTGAATTGTGCCCAGGATCAAACTGGGATCCAACAAAGATCTTGGGTGCACAAGGTAAATCGCAGCGAGTCCCTAACAACCTGTCGGCCATCAATCTGGAGCAGTGCACTTCCTACTCAGACAGACTGGCGAAGTGCTGACATTATTTCCATTTCCAGTCCCTTTTTATTTCCTAAGGCCTTGATAGATGGGATCTGTTTGTCGGCTGCTTTTCCCACACTGGATTGCTCTCTGGTTTTCTGCAACTGTTTCCACAGATTTCACTTCTTCTCTTTGGCCTTTTGCTTGTTTGTTCAATTAGGCGCTTTGGAGACTTTTCTCAAAGCGGAAAAGCAGCCTGTATTTATTTATTTTTTTAAATAGCTGATTTATTTTATTTTAAGTCTCTATTGAGAGCCAACCCTGTCTGGACGTCTTTGCAAGCTCTGAGTGCTTAAGGGTTTTCTCTGTTCTGCGCGTGGACCCTCTGGTGACCCATCAGGTGTGCACGACGATTGAACCTCTTCCCACATTCCGCACAGGCGTACGGTTTCTCTCCCGTGTGGATCCTCTGGTGGCTGATCAGGTTTGTGCTGCGATTGAACTTCTTCCCGCAGTCGGCGCATTCGAAGGGCTTCTCCCCGGTGTGGATCCTCTGATGCGTCTTCAGGCTTGATTTGCGGCAAAAGCTCTCGCCACAGTCCAAACATGGGTACAGCTCCCGGGCAGAGTGAATATTCTGATGCCGGATGAAGTGCTTGCTCCGGCTGAAACACTCCCCGCAGTCTGGGCATTTGTATGGCTTCTCTCCGGTGTGGTTCTTCTGATGCCGGATGTAGGTCGACTTATCACAGAAGCTCTTGCTGCAGTGCAGACAGCGGTACGGTTTCTCGCCCGTGTGGCTCCTCTGATGGGTAATGAGGTGATGGCTCTGGCTGAAGCTCTTACCACACATGGTGCATTTGTAAGGGTTATCTCCCGTGTGCAGCCTCTCGTGCCTCACCAGGCTGGACTTGTCGCAGAAGCGTTTGTTGCAGGCCGAGCAGGCGTAGGGTTTCTCCCCCGTGTGGATCCTCTGGTGTGAAATGAGGTTGGAACTTCGGCCGAAGCCCTTCCCACAGTCCAGGCACTTGAATGGTTTCTCTCCTGTGTGGATCCTGCTGTGGCTGTTGAGCTGCGAGCTCTGGCGGAAGCTCTTGCCGCAGTGCGAACACTCATAGGGCTTCTCCCCACTGTGGATCCTCGAATGTACAACATAGCCGGACTTGGAAACAAACGCTTTCCCGCAGTCTGCGCACTCATAGAGTTTCTCTCCCGGCTGGGTTCGCGGATGCCGAATCATGAGCGGTTTGTCTTGGAACAAATTCTCCCCTAATTTCTTAGCCTTTTTCTTCTCTCTGTGCATGGCTTGCTGGATGGCCATTTCGTAAAGGCTTCCAGCCTGGGAGATGAAGGAGTTACTCCTTTGCTCCTCGTTTCCCTGAAATCTCTTTGGCTCTGGTTGTTTGGAAAGGTCTTCCAAGTCCTGAATGCTTCCTCTTTCCGAGGACATCCCGATGTTCTCAGCTGGCTTCCAAGCACCTGCAGGAATAAGAACATCAGAACATAAGAGAAGCCAATGTTGGATCAGGCCAATGGACAAAAAATGGAAAAGGGGAAAACACTGAACCTAAAACCTAGAATTCAGAACCTAAAAAGGTTAGTCAAGAATAGAAGAGGGCCAACTCTAAAAATCTAATTATGAAACATAAAGAAATATACATATATTTATTGAACACAAATTAAAATAAAAAATAAGGGCCCATTCATACCTCATATACAAATATAAAAATACAAAAATACAAAGGCTGATAAAATAGACCTAACGCGTTTCGGCCTTCACAGGCCTTCCTCAGAGGTCTAATACAAATAGAACATGTTGGCTAATATGTAAAAATATATACAGAATACGGAATAAAGACCAGAAAACAATTGTTTCAAAGTTTAACCACTGGACAAAAATACAAATGAAACCTCCAGTGCAATCACATGTCCAGTAGTACTTCTCTCTGGTCAACTATATATTCTCCTGAGATTGTATAGAGCCAAATGTTCCCAATGTAGGAACATTGGGGCCAGGACACTAGAAGCCCCCCCCCCCGCACCAAGAATACAGAACATCACTTGCCCCAGACTGAGAGTTCCTATATATACCTTGTGGCTAATAGCCACTGAGGGACCTCAGCTCATAAGACTCTGTAGGAGGAAGAGAGAGTCCCATTACGCAGGGGGTACCAGGTTCATTTCCCGGCACCTCCAGTTACAGGGTCTCAGGTTACAAGTCTTGAGTAAGAACTCTCCCTCTGATGGAGACCCTGAAGATAATAAGAGGATGCCCTGCTGGATCAGACCAGGGGTCCATCTAGTCCAGCATCCTGTTTCACACAGTGGCCAGCCAGCTGACCTGGAGGGCCAACAAACAGGGCATGAGCTTCCCATACTGCAATGTGCTGTCAACGGCAGTCTCTCAAAAGGACAGGACAACTCACTAGGTAAGAGCTCACTCGGTGTGCTCTTCTTGAATCTAGTAATCAACTGATATAAACGACAGCAGGGAGGCAGAAGGGGCTCACCACAGAGCTGTTGATCCATGCTTATACCGTCCTTAGCTGTCACTGCATGTTCACAGGAGACCTTAACCCATACTACTGTATCAATATCACTGGGTGCAGGGAGAACCAGCCAGACTCTTTCCAAGCTGGGCTTCCTGCTTGTTTTACTTTACCTCATTTATTGCCCACCTTTGTCACTGAGACTCAAGGGAATTACGTGAGCTAAAAAAGCCAACATGGAAAAGAAGTTGGCAGGAGCGGCCAGGGTGCCTTCCAAGGTTCCCTCTAAGCTGTGGGGTCAGGTGAGCAAAAATTCTACTTTGTGAGCTACTGGCATTAAAATTGTGAGCGAGCGATTTGGCTACTGCATGAATTAGTTTGCTCTTGTGCCATCCTTCCTGAGCTCAAAGACAAAAATGTGTGAGTTGGAGGCTAAAAAACTGTGAGCTAGCTCACACTAACTCAGCTTAGAGGGAACATTGGACAACTTAACTGCACATTGCTTTTCTTCTTCTTACTTTTAAACAGAGATATCTAATAAAAAGTTGAGGGTTTTTCCCCCCCTTAAGAGCTGGTAACAGTCTCACCATAACCCCACCTGTACAGGATAGCCCACCCA